TAGTTGTTTTTCCTTCCTTTGTATTTTGCATCTTAAAACAAAAATTGTTTTTCTTGGCAAATCATAAAACACCTCTAATAAACTCAAACCCTTCTTCAAGGTAAAAATAAAAATCAATCTTATTTGTTTGTGCGCCTCTTGGCTTTGTTTTTAAACCTGGTTTATTGATGTTTTTCCATCCTTACCATGCCATGCTACCTTGTTATCTTTTAGCCGATGTTTCGCCATCGCACATTTGCTTGAAGCCGATGTTTCGCCATCACACATGTTGTTATCCTACTTTTGATTCTCAATATCATTGTTAGGTGTGATGTTTTATCATCCGTTTTATTGATGTTTCGCCATCGTAGCCATGATACCCTGTTATCTTATAGCCGATGTTTCGCCATCGCATACTGGTTTGAAGCCGATGTTTCACCATCGCACATGTTTGTTATCCTACTTTGATTCTCAATATCATTGTTAGGTGTGATGTTTTAAACCTGATTTATTGATGTTTCGCCATCTTTGCCATGATATCTTGTTATCTTATAGTCGATGTTTCGCCATCGCATACTTGTTTGAAGCCGATGTTTCGCCATCGCACATGTTTGTTATCCTACTTTGACTCTCAATGTCATTGTTAGGTGTGAATGTTTTATCATTTGGTGTTTCGCCATCTTTGACATGTTACTGTGTTATTATTTAGCCGATGTTTTACCATCTCATTTGTTTATTGTTTTATTTGATGTTTTTCCATCTTGACTGTTTGGTTGTCTTAACTAAAAAAACACAAACCAACTAGAATATATGAGCCGAACTACGACTGCTCTGATTCTTTAAAAGGGATATGTAGGCAAAGGGGTAGGGCCCAACCGAGCATATCTTTTATTTTCCCTACATTGTTTTCTTTTTCTTTCTTTCTTTCGCATGCATTCCTTTTTTTAGCTTTAAGACATAGACATAGGTTTTAACCACACCCATTAGATTGGACAACAAGAGTGGATGCCGTAGAGTACTACGGCGTGTGGGGTGCTAATACCTTTCCCTCGCGTAACAGACTCCCTTACCCGATCTCTCAGTCGAAAGACCGTGATTTCTCCCTTTTCAGGTTTTCTCGATGTTTACCTTTCCCTCTCGGCGGGATAAAAGACGTTCGGTGGTGACTTCATTGATGTCTCATTACTGAGATGACGGTTCCGCCAGGTCGTTTCAATGGACACCGATCTCTTTGGAAGCACAACACAATGGGGCGAAATTCAATGAGATGTATGATCCTGATGTACCAGGACCATCACATCAAGCACCTCATAATCAAGTGAGTCAGAACATACCACAAACACCTCAGAAAAATCAACAGAGAGGAGTGAGACAAGGGACGAGGCAAATGCGCAGCCGTTTATGTCATACTGGAACCCGCTTAATTTGAGGGGACGTCCAAAAAAAATGTATCTATGTATTGTGTAATATTAAATATTAATATAAAATATTTTTAGTTACTTTTATTTTATTTTAAAAAAATTGCAATAACACTGTCAAGCTAAGGAGGGTGGAGCCTCCTCTCTGGAATACATGTATGCGCCACACTGCATGACTTTACAGAGGAGGACAAGCCATGCAGTGTGACACCTCCTCTTAAAAATGAATGCATGCGCCACACGGAGTGGCTACTCCTCTGTGTGGCAAAATTTTTTTATTTGAAAAATGGTCATTTTAATAAATATTTTGAAAAAATGATTATTTAGGAAAAAAATTTAAAAAAAAAATTATTTAAGAAAAAAAATTCCTTACACATGGTGTCAAAATTTAATTTCTTTTTTTTAAATATATCTAAATATCTAACAAGTTTCATTCTACTTACATGAGTTTCTAAAATAAATCCAAATATCTAACAAGTTTCATTCTACTTACACGAGTCACACCTACTTACATTAGTCACACATTCTGCACTGCACATCAACTTTTGCGCTACACCTCAACCTTAACATTATATTAACAATGTTGTATTCTATCGTAAATTTATTTATTTATATTTGAAGTTCTAGTTCATGTAAGAATTTAATTTCATAATTTTAATAATTTAATTATGAATTTTAATCACCACTCATAAAATAATTATTAGTGTGTTTTTTATTAATAATTTTATTTACCTATTTAGTAAAAAAATCATCAAAAAAGTTAAAGAAATAAATTAATTAGTTTTTATATAAATACTTACACTTTAAATCATGAATATTTAAATTTTCAAATTTTCAATTTTTTTTTTGTATTTTTTGACATAATTTATTTTTATAATAATAAAGAAAATATTATAATTAAAAATATAATTTTTTTTGACAAAATAAGTATGTTTATTATAAAGTATTATCTGCTTTTTCTTCTCTCAATTCTTTGTATTGTATTTTATTGAATGTTTGCAGTTTACTCGAACATAAATGCTTACATAGAGTTTACAGAGTTTGAAGACTGTGCTGTCTATAATTCAAAGGGAATTTGGAAGACACAGAAAGTGGATATTCATGCACAACATTCTATTGGAGAAGTATCTTTGACTCATTGAATTAAAAGGTGAAATAAATAATATTTTTGTTTTTCAAATCTCATATTTTGACTAAATTTTCAAAACTCATTTAATTTTTATTTTAGTGCTTTTGCATATACTCAAGTGATTTTGTTTAAGAAGGAGATACAAGAGGTTAGGGGGGAAAGTGACAAGGATGGCCAGTAAGGTGAGAGATTATATTTATAAGCTTTTACTTGTTTTCATTCATTTTATTAATTGGTTTTTGATTTGAATAGGTGTTTGAAATTGATAGCCATGATGAGGAGAGTACCAGTCTTTGCACAAAAGATGGATCAGTTGATTGTTATGGAAAACCAGCTATAAAATCTAAGACAGGTGGATGGAGAGGTGCCTCATGGTTGTTAGGTATCAACATACTTAAAACACTTAAATGATATTCATATGAGTCGTCTTAAGTTTTTAGAGGCCTTGTTTCTCGGATGATATTCATATTCAGGGTCGTCTTAAGTTGTCGGATGTCCTGTGTAGGTTGTGAAAAAAATAAGGATTTTATTTTGTTATAGATTAGTGTAAAAAATATTTTCCGTGTGAAAAATTTTAAACTATGTGCAGTAGTCTGTCTTGCACGCCTTTAAAATGTTTTTTGTTAGGTTAGAAGATACTATCTATTTTGGATGAGTATAAAGAAGATTATCATTAGAGAGTTATATTTTGGACACAGGCTTGATAAATTCTGTAATTGAAACAGTGAATCAGTTTCTAGTTACATTGGCTTTCACTGGAGTTGAAGTAAATTTGGTTCTCTTTGCAAAGTTAGTATTGAGACAAAGTAATGCAGAGTCAGCCAACACTTTCAGCACATGGATGGGAACTACCTATTTTTTCTCTTTAATTGGAGCTTTTCTCAGTGACTCGTACTTAGGAAGATACATCACTTGCATCATATTTCAAATTGTCCTCAACATTGTAAGTATCCAAATCCACATTCAACTTTATCAATATGTTTTTTTCATCTTAAAAGGCAAGCTTCGGTTCGGTCCTGAGAGTGCGCTCTTCTCAATGTCTCAGACTCAATCCTGTTAAGTGCTAACAATCCTTATGTTGGTACAGTTCATATAGAGTTTTGCTCTGCCTTTAAATAGGCCCGTACTAGTGGATGGTTGGATTGGTTCACTTAGATTAGTCGATTTCAAAGCCGATACCAAATCTAAAGTTCTATTTTCCTTTTCTTTATGTAGGGATTGGTGCTATTATCCTTATCAACTCATTTCTTGTTACTCAAACCTCAAGGTTGTGGAAAAATAGGTTTTTTATGTGAACCTCATTCACCACTTCATGTTGCAATACTTTACATATCAATATATCTAGTAGCACTAGGAAATGGAGCTGCTGATCCTGCATTAGCAACATTTGGTTCTGACCAATTTGATGAACAAGAATCAAAAGAAGAAAAATCCAAGTCCTTATTTTTCAGCTACTTTTATGTGGCCTTGAATCTAGGATCATTAGCAGCTGAGACAGTTTTGGCTTACATAGAGACTTCAGGAAATTGGGTGCTTGGATTTTGGATATGTGTTGGTTGCGGCGGTTTTTCGTTTCTGGTTTTTATGGCCGGAACTCTTAGATATCGGCATATGAAGACGACTCGAAATCCTATCTCGAGGTTTGCGCAAGTGTTTGTGTCCTCTGTGAAGAAAATAAAACTTCAAGTGCCCGCAAATGGAGAAGGACTCTATGATGTTCGAGAAGGCAATGATAGGAAAATGCATCACACTAAAGGTCTCATGTATGTCTGTTTGAATTGACTTATTTGAATTTATTTACTGATACAAGTACTTCTGAGACTGTTTGGATGTACTTACGAAAATAGCTTATGATATGTTAATAAGCAGTTTTCAACTTATTATCATAACTTTTGAAGAAAAGTTACAACCAGGAAAAAATTTGAATTCATTTTATCTTGGTGACAACCAGGTTTTTTGATAGAGCTGCGATTATTTCTACCGAGGAAGAGCACAAGTTGCTAGAGAAAAGCGAAAATCCAAATCCATGGAGTCTTTGCACTGTGACACAAGTCGAAGAAGTAAAATGCATTTTGAGACTATTACCTGTATGGCTTTGCACGATCTTCTCGTCCGTCATCTTCATACAAATGCTTTCTCTATTCGTCGAGCAAGGTTCAACGATGGACAGAAAAATTTACAAGTTTGAAATCCCTCCTGCAAGCATGACAGCATTCGATATCATAAGCACATCATTATTCATCATGTTATTTGACGTTCTCATAGTTCCATTATACGTGAAAATCGTCAAAAGAGAGCCAAAAGTTCCTAGCGAGCTACAAAGAATCGGCATTGGACTATCCATTACAATACTAGCCTTGATTGTCGCCGGTTTGGTAGAGAGGAAAAGACTCGAGTTCGCTAGTTCTGACGGTAAAGAAACGAGTTCTTTGAGCATCTTTTGGCAAATACCGCAATATGTACTTGTAGGAGTAGCAGAAGCATTTATTTACGTAGCACAAATGAATTTTTTTACATCACAAGCACCAGATGGTTTGAAAAGCTTGGGAATGGGATTGTCCATGTCTACGTCGGCAGTTGGTAGTTATGTCGCCGACACTATTTTGTCAGTTGTAATGAAAATCACTTCTACTCACGGACGACATGGTTGGGTTTCGCCTAATCTAAATGAAGGTCATTTAGATTGGTTTTTCTTCTTGTCTGCGGTTTTAACTGGTATCAATTTTGCATTTTATATTGTGTGTGCAACAAGATATAAAGTTGTAGAAATGGAGAAAAGAGATGAGGCAGAGAAAGAGGAAGAAATTCTGACTAGGTTCGATAGTTCGGCAGAAAAGTGATTTTCTTTGGAACAGATTCTTAAAAATGCTTGACATCAAATACAGTTATAGAGCCTGAAAACTTGTAATTCAATTGATACTGGACTATGAGACTTGCAAGAATGAAAATTATCATGGTTGAAGTTATGTGATCTATCTTATGATATTTCAATTTTAGCTTATGAAAAATTACTAAGTTCTAGATAATGTTTCATGTAATACGGTAGAAAATATGACCATTAAGATGAAAACCATATTAAATATGACGTTGGTGATTGGATCAATTGTTGGACACACCGCGTGTTGCGCTAAGTATTGGCGGCTCTGCGTCGGTTGTTGGACACTCCGTGCATTGACGGAGCTGTCACCACAGTTTCAAACAACCTCCTTATTGCCCTAAGTACTAGCGGCTATGCGTCACTTGTTGGACACACTGTGTGTTGATGGAGCTGTCACCGCAGTTTCAAACAACCTCCTCATTGTGCTAAGTATTGGTGGCTATGCGTCGCTAAGTATTGGCGGCTATGCGTTGGTTGTTGGACACACTGCACATTGATGGAGCTGTCACCACAGTTTCAAACAACACACTGCACATTGATGGAGCTGTCACCACAGTTTCAAACAACCTCCTCATTGCGCCGCGCGTTGATGGAGCTGTCACTGCAGTTTCAAAAAACCTCCTCATTGCGAGTATCAATGGCTATGTATCGTTTGTTGAACACGCAGCGCATTATCAGTTGTTGGACACACCGTAGCGAGTATCAATGGCTATGTATCGTTTGTTGAACACGCAGCGCATTATCAGTTGTTGGACACACCGTGCGTTGATGGAGCTGTCACCGCAGTTTCAAACAACTCCTAATTGTGCTAAGTATTAGCAACTATTCATCGATCATTGGACACGCGGCCCATTGATGGAGCTGTCACTGCAGTTTCAAAAAACCTCCTCATTGTGCAGTATCAGCGGCTATGTATCAGTTGTTGGACACACTGCGCGATGATGGAGCTGTCACCGCAGTTTCAAACAATCTCTCATTGCGCTAAGTATCAACGGCTATGAATCGGTTGTTGGACACACCACACATTGATGGAGCCATCACTGCAGTTTCAAACAAACTCCTCGTTGTGCTAACTATCAACGGATATGTATCGGTTGTTGGAGACACTGCACACTGATGGAGTTGTCATCGCAGTTTCAAACAACCTCATCATTGTGCGGTATCATCGGCTATGTATAAAAGGAATAAATCACGATAAAACAAATTAAACTTCAATGCATGAGTTTTGTAACACAATATAAAGAAATTGCTGGCATTTATTTGAAATATAAATCCAGTTTGATATTGTATAAGCTCTTATATGAATACATCAACCTAGTGAAATTTTATTGTCACTCTAAAATGTCATCCTTTATCATTTTGCAATCTTTGCAGCCATTTCTCTGACCAACTTAGCAGCTACCATAGCAGTCATTCCATCAACAGTATCGCGTTGTGGGTTGAGTTCAACGACGTCTCCAGCAACAACATCACCTTGAAGATTGTGTAGGATGTTAAGAACATCGCGGAAAGAAAGACCTCCCGGTTCAATATGAGACACTCCCGGAGCAAATGCAGGATCAAGACAATCCACGTCTATCGAGATATACACCCCTTTCACACCTTCCCCTAGTTTCTGCACAAGGAAATCACCAAGGTTTAAAAAGAACACACAAATGCACAAGTTAGTATCAATACATGTTTGGAATTTACTTTGCGCACTCGTGCGTACGTGCATATATGCACGAGCATACAAACACGGAGGCAGAGAGAGACATACCAGGTTCTCTAGGAAGGGGCGATCTCTGGAAAATGTTCGCATTTCATATTGCTCGACCCCAAATTTTTTTGCTTGTGCACGTCCTTCAGCTGTTATTGATCGAATACCAACCTGAAATGTATTAAAAAGCATTATTTTGGCAAAAAGTTACACTTTGTAGTTTCAACAAAATCACGGCGCCACCTTGATTTTATACTTATCAACAATAAAAGATTACCTGCAAGAGTCGCCGAACATAGTCACCCTCCATGACACGAGCAAAGGAAGAAGCATGCGAATAAATGTTCCCTTCAAATGCATCATAGTTGTCAGGATGCGCATCAATATGAAGAACATCAACTGGTCCTCCAAGCTTCTCCGAGACAGCTCTAATAACTGGAAATGATATTGAGTGATCACCACCTAAAACTAAGGGTCTTAGAGGAGCCTGAAAGAATATAAACAACACGAGGATCAAGCAAGTTCGAACAGAAAGTTATCGACAAAATGTCATAGCATTTCACATGATAGTGGAGTGAATGCTAAGAAACAATATATGAGGATGATAAAGGTGTAATTTTTTAATTCAAAATCATAAATTGACAAATTTACCTCTTCCATCACTAACTTGACAGATTCGCCAATGACACTCATCAATCTTTTATCATCTACGCCACAATCTCGAATTTCTTGAATAGGGACGTCACCGACATCAGTTAGCACTCGTGAGTCTTTTAAATCCTTACCTGCAAAATCAAAATAGTATTGTTACTACAAGCTTATGATTATCATATATAATTACAGGACTGATACAAGAAGCACGACGGCACTGAAAACTGAGATTGCAGTTAAAAACCAGTATTTTCTGCGAACCACGATTGACAGCACTGAAATAGAATACTGATGAACAGACATTGTTACAGCAATCTGTGTTATTATCAGATGATGATACCTTCTTCGGTTGTCGAGTTTGTGCTACCACACCAAATGGCCTCCCTAATGCGAGGTGGCGCAAATGCAGGCCCTTGAAGAAATGATGAATTGTGTCCCAAAGGAACTCCAAGAAGCGACGAAGTTGCAACAGCACCTCCCAATGCGCGCACAAGTTCTCCCTGCAGAGAGGCAATTTCAACATTCATATTGTTTTCATACAAAGCTTATAACCAAAATCATCCAAAGGAAATATAAAGTTAAAGATTCATATAGGATACAACACCGAAAAAACAAAAGATTCAGTCAAGCAAAACAAAAACAAAAACCAAATTATGACTTACCTTAAGCTTTGCTCTTTCTCTAATAAGAGTAAGTGAAGCATCGATTACACGATTTTGCCCTTTCTCTAGCAAAGCAGCTGATACATTCGCTGAATTCAGTCTCTGCAAGCAATGGATACCTCTGCGCGCTATCGTCGACATTTCTGCAACAAAATAATAGAACAATAAATATATACAGGATAAATAAATTCTACCAATTCTACTCATCACTGACAGAACTTGAATAACTATACAAGGGCCTCAAAAAGACCGGCCCATCACGTGCTTAGCCAAAGAAAGATATTGGGCGCAAAAGGGCGGCATTGCGCATCGAGCACATGATGTACCTGGTCTGGCCCAATAAGCCCGGGACATGAACCATATGGTTCAGCCCAGCACGCTCCAACCCCGAGCCATATAAGGGCGTGTCAAGCCCCGTATCTGAAAAAGGTATAACCGCTTTTCCTGTTAAGGGGGAGGACTAATTCCTCTTATCCCCACGATCTGGCCGAGCGGTTAGGCCTTGGAACAGGTTCCTTAGCAGCAACTTGGCCAGAGGGTCAAACCTATAAATATCTCAGCCGCATGGTCGGGAAGAGATCAATCACATTTCACAAATCAGGACCTAAAAAGCCATTTTGCGCATCTCATTGCAGGCAGGGTATTCTCTATTGTACTTACCACAAGTACACTTACCAATAATTTCACTTTTGCAGTGAACACACATTTACAATTATTTTACGCTTTAGAGTTTATCTGTGTTATGGATTGCAGAAAACAATGAAAATACAAATCAGTAACATGGATTTAGTTTTAAAAGCAATCAAAAACTGATTGATCTAGTGATCTTACAACTTCATCTAGCTTAACAATGAAAATGCTATATCTCAAATCACTACAACAAAAAAAAAAAAAAAAAGATGCAGATTTTCAATTCAAATTTTGGGATAAAGCAAAAAGAGAAAGAATGATGATAAATTCATCTATAATATTCTGAACATGCTAACAGTTAAGGGATAAACATGTTACCTGTGAAAGTTTGCAGAGAACAGAGAAAACACGTTACGGAGAGAGATGGAGAGAGTGTGAAGTGATGCTAATAAAAAAGAATTTATTTTTCTTCCACTTATTTCCGACATCCCTATAGTAGAATGTTTTTATTTCTTACAGTTACAGGGATAATTACGATACATAGTTAAGGTGATTGTTGATAGTTAATAATACTCAATTTTTGCAATTTTTATAATCACAAATTATTACTCTCTCTTTTTGTGTCGTTTTAACTATTAATTTATTTTAAAAAAAAAAGAAGTTATTTTCACTTTTCAATACATAAATAGTAATTGTGTTTTATAATTATTACATTTTACACTATTTTTAATATATTAATTATATTAATTTAGTAAAATTATAATGTTTTATGACAATATTATTATTTTCTTAATTTATGCATAAAAAATTTAAACGACATTCATTTTAAAACGGAAGAAATATTAAATTATAGTTTTGATTCTTCTATTTTAGCTAACTCACAAAATCAATTTCTTTATTTATTTTTTAAATAGTTTTGATTTCCGATGTCCATATTTCGTAAATAAAAAAAACGATATTGTGTACTAGTACTACTTTTTAGAATACGTGACATGTTTTTATTAATTTGGTACAAGAAAGATTTATTATTTATTATATTTTTGATGACATTTTCTTTATTTAGTGAATTGGCTGAAATAAGAGGATTAAAATTGTAATTTAACTTATATATTTATTGCTAAAATAAATAAATATCAAATTAATTCAGTAGATAGGTGTGCAGAAACATATAAAACAAGGTTATGGATTTGAACTAGTAACATCCTATTTATTACATATTTATTACATTCTTACACACGACACACAACAATGTTAAATTTTTTTAGAATTTCTTTAACTCTCTGTTTTAAAATGACAATAGTTTAAAGTTTTTAAGAAATA